CTGCCGGGGCCGGCGGCTCCGGAACGGTAAGGGTGGGAGGCGCGGGGCGGAAGCCGAAAAAGTCTGGGCATTCTGTAACTTCCCCCTAGCCTGGGCAACAAGCTCATACCCAGAAATCCCGCCCCACCATGAGCTCTGAGTGGAGGAGGGTCTTTCAGGCCGTACATGCCGCCCCTCCTCGAGACTTGGCGGCGGCCTCCTGAGTTGGTGGACCTGTGTATTGATTGGCCTGTTCTCTGTTGGGGGTTGGGAACCCGGAACACCTCCTGATTGGTCCAATGATGCCGTTTTCGCTTTCTTATTGGTCCGCCAAAGTTGGGGGGGGATTCCCGTTTCCAAATACTTCGCTTTCCTACTGTCTGTGCTGTTATCATTTGCCCTGTATTTTGCATCGTGCGGTGTTTGCTGTTTTAATTTTCCTTGTTAGTGAAGTGGTGTGGCGATGAGAGGAACGAGAGAGATCACTTTTTTTTCTGGGAAATAGATATGAATTCAATCCCATCATGCATGTTTCTTCAGTTATATATTCTGATCATCTGCTGAAATAGAAAGTAGAAAACAGCCGTTTTGCGTTACTGGAATTGTACGTTTTAGGTAGGCAGAAAGTCTGTCACCGAACTTAGAACCCCTTGGGTACTCAATTATTGCTCATTTGGCCAAGAGCTGTAAATCTCCGTATCAGGGACTACCACATCTTATTAAGCACTGAGAAGTATTTAGCAGAAGAACCTTTGCTTGCCACTGACGGTATTGAACTATGTGATTGCATCCCTGTCATGTGGATAAAAATGTTCTCTTTCTGGGCTGCTGATTCACAGAGATCAGGAAGTAAGCAGTCCACTAACCCTGCTGATAACTACCATCTGGCCCGGAGGCGAACCCTGCAAGTGGTTGTGAGCTCCTTGCTGACAGAGGCAGGGTTTGAGAGCGCTGAGAAAGCATCTGTGGAAACATTGACAGAGATGCTGCAGAGCTGTAAGTACCGGGAAACAATCGGCCTTCTTCCAGTCAACCAAACATCTATTCTGTATCTGCATTGTGATAATGTTAGGGAGGATTTTAGAAAAAGAAGAACATGGTAAAGTGACTTACAGGCTTTGGAATCAGATAGACTTGAGTGTACATCACCACTCTGCCACTTAATAGCTTGGGTAAACCACTAAACCTCCTGAACCTCAATTTGCTTATTTTTGAAACAGGATAATAATTTGCACCTTGTGGAGTTGTTAATGTTAAGTGAGGTGTATACGTAAAACAGTCAAAGCTTGGGGATGTTTAAGCTCTTGATGACTTGTAGATGTTATTATTGCTGTTTGTTCTCAATGCTCAAAGAACTTACAGTTTTGTTGAAGAGTCAGGATTAATTCCCATAAAATAAATGCCACACATGACATAATCATGCTAAATTATGTGATACAAGAGTGAGGGTGAATAAATTTTATAGAATTGGGAAAAAACATTTAAAAGGAAATATTTTGGAGTTTAGGAATCTGGAATGGTCTTAATGGTCTTACATAGGCCTTTCTGCATGTGCAGTGTAGCTCCCTGCTTGGGCCTTTTTTGGGGGGGGTGGGTAGGATGGGATGAGGAATAGGGGTATTTAAGGTGTTTTGGAGGGGAAGTCAACCCTATGAATGGAAGTAAGAGAAAGGTTTAGGCAGAGAGAGAAGTTGAACTGTAGTGCAGGCCAAACAAAGAATTGGCCAGCTCAGTGGGGCATTAGTTCTGGTGTGATTATCACCCATGGAGTAGCCCACATCAGGCTCAAAAGGTCCTTCCTTTGTACTCCAATCTTGATCAGTCACTAGATGTGGACTGCCCCAGAAAGGGCTTGATTTGGGTGGGGTAACTCCTTGCAGCTGATGTTTTGAACTTTTAAATACCAAATGTTTTCCTAAAGCAGCCATCTCAAAGTTTTTGATTTCAGGACCCCTTTAGACTCTTAAATGTTGAGGACTCCAAGGAATTCAGTATTCATTGTCTTTATATAGAGAGATTTTTTTTGCCACATTAGGAAAAAAAACTGAAAACATTTTAAAACATAAGAATGCACAAGCACACATCCCATTATCCATCAGAGCCATGATGGCGTCACAGGTGATAGAACCTCTGGAAAAGTACTTGAGGCAATGAGAGTGAAAAAGTCAAAGGATGTCTCATTATGAAAATGGTTTTGACCTGTGTATTCTGGAAAGGATTTCAGGGATGTCCAGGGATTTCCAGACCACACTTTGAGAACTTTTGTCCAGAAAGAATAGACTAATAATTCCCAGCAGATGAGAATTCAGTTTTTGCAAAGATCTTGTAATTCTGAGTCTATAGGTCCTAATAGTTGAAGTAGTTCTTTCTTATACCACTGGACAAGAGGCCTTTATTTCTCTCAGAAGAAATGGTTTCCACGGAAGGGGATGGAGCTGAATAGTTGTGTTGGAAAGCCAAGAGTATTAGAACTAAATGGTTTGAAAATAGTATAAAAATCCGCTGCTTCAGAGAAAGGAATCCCAAGGATGGATGGCTTACATTGAGGGCTTGCTGACACTTGGATGCCTCCATGCTGGCGATAGCTCTGAATATCAAAGTATTAGGATTTGTGTAAGTGATAAGCACCAGGCAGAACTGCTGTGCTTGTTGACTACAATCACCTTGTTTCTAGGGACCTGTATCTTTGCGTTCAGAGCAAAGTTCATGTTGTTTTCTACATTTTCTGTGTGTATCCTTTGACATCCTAGGATCCTGCTGGTATGTAAGAAAAAGTCCAAATGGTGAAACTGCCCAAACTGCCCAAACTGCATATTTCTAAAATATTTTCACCAGGATTTTAATTAGACTCTCCCCCACCCCGGTAAACAGAAGCTGCCCACCGTTTTCATGGATGGAGGCTAGTACAGTAGTGACAGTTAGTGACCTGCTCAGGGTAGCATGACAAGTTGGTGTTAGGTCTTCAGTTAGACAGCCTTCCCATCAAGTGCTCCTTGCTCTTTCCTTCTGCACCATTAGGCCCCTAGCGCATGGGTCCTTACCTTTGGGATCTCCTTTTATCTCTGATGAAATCTGTGAGTTTGTCCCCAGAAAAAGGCTTTATTTGGTATGCAAAATTCAGCAGAGTTTCAGAGTTTTCATGGAACTGCCCGTCATCCTCAGAAGTCCATTCATGAGTATGAGCCCAGCTTCATACTTCCCATTTGCCCTGAAGGACTTCAGCATGACTTAAAAAGAGGTTCAGCTTCGGGTAGAAGAAACAAAAACTTGACAGCCAGAGAATAAGACCTCCCCCAACCCCCTTTTTTTTTTTGGTGGCAAGATATACATAACATAAAATTTACCATTTTAGCCATTTTTTATTGAAGTATGGTTGATTTACAGTGTTGTGTTAGTTTCAGGTGTACAGCAAAGTGATTCAGATATATATATATATATAAAACTGTTCTTTTTCAGATGCTTTTCCATTATACCATTTTAACCATTTTTGAGTATATAATTCAGTGGCCTTAAATATATTCACAATGTTGTACAGCCATCAACACTATTCATTTCCAGTACTTTTTGCATCATTCTAAGCAGAAACTCTGTATCCATAAACAATAACTCCCCATTCCTCCTTCCTCCCAGCCCCTGATAACTGCTAACCTATTTTTTTGTCTCTGTGATACTCTTTTTTCTAGGTACCTCATAAAGTGGAATCTTAAAATATTTGACGGTCTGTCTGGCTTATTTCACTTAGCATGATGTTTTCAAAGTTCATTTGTATTATGGCAGGTGTCAAGAGGTCATTCCCTTTGGAGGCCGAATAATATTCCATTGTACATACAGACCCCATTCTGTGTGCCCATTCCTCTGTGGATGGTCACTGGGTTGTTTCCACCTTTCGGCTGTTGTGAATATTGCTACCATGAACACTGATGAACAGGTATCTGTTTGAGTCCCCCTTTTCCATTCACTCCAGTATATACGTAGGAGTGGAATTGCTGGCTCATGCAATAATTCTACGTTTAACTGTTCAGAAACTGAGAATAAGACTTAATGCCTTTGATCCCTTCCCAGACATTTCAGAAATTGGGAGGAGTGCCAAGTCTTACTGTGAGCACACAGCCAGAACCCAGCCCACACTGTCAGATATTGTGGTCACCCTTGTCGAGATGGGTGAGTACACTTCCAGTTTCCATTTCTTTGGTGCAACTGAGTTGGAGGTATGAGAGAGTCAGCCACATCTGCTGAGTGTTCTTGAATTCCCTCATGAGTCTCCTGGTTTGCCTTTAGCTTATGAGAGTCATCAAAAGAGCGCTCCTCTGAACCTCTTTGAGAGACCACCTAACTCCCTGTTGGGGGATTCTGCTGGAGCTTCTTTTGAGTGGCAGCCAAACTCCTGAGTTGGTTGTTTAAGCTACTTTGCCACAGGATTACTTCCCCTTCCTTGTTCAATATCCTATGGTCTGGGCAGTGATTTTTGTTTTCCTGTTTCTCAGGTTTCAATGTGGACACTCTCCCTGCTTATGCAAAACGGTCTCAGAGGATGGTCATCACTGCCCGTAAGTAACTCTCAACTGGGGTACTCAGTAAGTGCTCAGTTAATGCTGGTGGGATGAAATCATTGAATAGGGCGGGGATTGGTGTGTAGCCACTGCCTCGTTGCAGACTCCCTTCCGTTATTTAGGGCTACTTACAGTGTACTCTTTACTCGGGCTAATCGAATTAGGATGTGAGGTTCCGTCACCAGAAGCCGTCCCTGAGATGCTGCTGTGGTTCTTGTGTCTCAGCCCAGAAGAGCAGTCAGGGCTCAAAAATGTGAGAGTTCTTGTTCTTCCTGAGATCATGGGCCTGATGTGGCCCACCGCCCATTTCTGTCAATAAACATTTATCAGTACACAGTCATGTTCACTTATTATCTATGGTTGTCTACATGCTGGAATGGCAGAGTTGAGTAGTTGTGACAAACTGTATGGCTTGCAAAACCTAAAACACTTAGTTTCTGTCCCTTTACACACAAAGTTTGATGACCTCTGCCTGAGACAAACTGAGTGCCATGAACTGAGTTGGGGTCACTCATTTGGGCTTGTGGGACCTGGGGAGAATTCACTAGATTTGTTTTCATCACTCTTTTCAGGCTGGCATCTTTTTAAGAACTCGTCTCAGAATAGCAGTGGAAGGTGCCACTTTCGGCTCCCTCGTGTTGTCATTAGCCTACACCTACCTTACCTGGCTCAGGGTTTGTCTTTGTTACCCAGGTTCTTGAAAAGAGTCAGCAGCCCACCTCACTGCCCTGGTTCCTCAGCACGCTCTTCGGCTTAATTTACTTGTCACAGCCACCCCTCACCTCCCTAAGAGGCAGGCAGGCAGATCATTGGGGATGGGACTGTCACCCCAGCTTATGCAGGGCCGGGCATCATTGGGGTTGGGAGGGCCTTTTCAGGGCCTCAAGCCATTAAAGACCTTTTATCAATAGAAGTGCAGTGTGCCTTTTGCATAGAACATTGAGGTCCAGCATTTACTTTGAGAAAAGGAGGGTTTGGGTAGAGACCCAAGGCCTGGGGTGGAGGAGTAACTGGTTGTGACTCTGTTGCAGCTCCAGTGACCAATCAGCCAGTGACCCCCAAGGCCCTCACTGCAGGACAGAACCGACCCCACCCACCGCACATCCCCAGCCATTTCCCCGAGTTCCCCGACCCCCACACCTACATCAAAACTCCGGTGAGTGACAAGGCCCTGCTAGGGGCTGTGACTGGTACAAAAGCAGAGTCAGTTCTATTGACTGGCAGGCTGAAGTCCAGAAGTTTGTTGGCAACAAGGTAGTTCAGAACTCAGAATGTCTCTCCTCATTGAAGAGGAGAATTATGGTCTCCAGTTTGCTGGCAAATATATAGTTAACAAACTGAAACTGGCACAATTTTGCCTGTCCCACCCAAACACAAAAGTACTAGCCACGCACAGAAAAGACATGCTCCACAAAATGTTGGTAGTAATTCTTGGTGGGATTATAAGTACCATTGTTTTGAGTGTGCTTTTCTGGGTTTTCCAAATTTTCCACTACAGGAAAGAGTTATTTTTGAAATCAGGGAAAGATTATTTAAAACGTACTTGGTAATATGATGTGAAGCCCCTCATAACTGAGCTCTGGGTCTGTGTGGGACAAGTTGAGTTGTCTCCCATGGTTCAACGTGTTCCTATTTGCATCGAGCAGTGTCCCTTCCCACAGCTTGCACAGGAGTCCCCAGAGGTGCTTCCACTCGCTTCCTTTGTCTCCACCTCCGCACCATGTCCTGGTGCAAACACGGCCGTGATGCAGGGTGTTGGGGCAAGTCCTTCAGAAGCTGTCTCCCAAACGCAGGATATGGGGGCGAGAGGAATAGATGGTCACCCACCAGTGCAGCACAGCCATTGCCCTGGACTGTGGTTTCTATATTAGTGTCCTGGGGCTGCTGGAACAAAGTGCCACAAACTTGGTGGCTTAGAACAACAGAAGTTTATTGTCTTATCATTCTAGAGGCTGGAAGTCCAAAATCAAGTTGTCCATAGGCCCCCTTTGAATCCTTTAGGAGAATCCTTCCCCACCTCCTTCCAGCTGTGGGTGCTTTGTAGACAGTCCTTGGCGGTCCTTGTCTTGTCGCTGTGTCACTCCAGTCTTGTGTCTTCACTTGGCACCCCCTCTATATCTCTGTCTTCACGTGGACATTTCTTATAAGGGCACCAGTCATGTGGGATTCGTACCCCCTACTCCAGTGTGACCTCGTGTTAACTGATTGCATCTTTTTTTCTCAATGTTTTTTACTTACTTATTTATTATTGTATTATTTAATTACTTTATTTTGGTGGAGGGGGTAATTAGGTTTATTTATCTGGGGAGGAGGTACTGGGGGTTGAACCCAGGACCTCATGCATACTAAGCATGCGCTCTACCACCTGAGCTATACCCTGCCCCCTAACCAATTGCATCTTGCAATGACTGTGTTTCCAAATAAGATCATATACTGAGCGACTGGGGGTTAGGACTTAAACGTGTCAATTTGGGGGGGGGGGCACAATTCAATCCACAACTATTTCTAACTCTCTTGTAGTATATCTGTGTCAGTAAAAACTTAGCACATATTCCAGTATTTGTCTATTTACATGAATGTTATAATGTAACACCGTACTAAAATAACATACATTAAAAGATAATCTGATCCTTATCAAAGGTGCAGGAAACTTGTGTGCCCCTTTTTAGTGGCAGCCATGTGAGAGCCTCTGCTTTTGATTTTTTGAAATCTTGGTTTAATACTTGGTGGAATTCTAGGTTGGTTTGATTCTAAGTTCTGTTTATTTTGATACTTTAACAGCTCTCATAGTTGAAAAAGATATACAAAGATAGATGGCATTTTTGGCTGCCCTTAATAAACCATGAAACTAATTTTTTTATTCTCATTTACCAATTATTTAAAGAATTTTGTTAAAATTTTTCTATTAAATTTCCAACTTTTAAAATGTCAAACAGTTGTCTTAAAATAATTGTAAGATCTTGCATTTTAATGTTTTTAACCAGTGTGTTCAAAAATCCCGTCAAATTCTTCATTCTGGGAAGATTTTAAACATGCTAGAAAATCCTATTTCTGTGTCTAAGTGTAACTGTACAGGTGACACACTGAGTTAACTCGGACAGCAGTGCAAGTGTCTCCAGGTACCTCCTTTAAAAACCCTACCTCCACGTCACGATGAATAGTTACTTTAGAGGAGTCTGGAGCAGTGCAAGGCTGATTTCATTGTTAAAGTTTCACCTTTACCTTTATAATTTTAAATGTTTTGGCTAATTTGTTCTTATTAGATCCCCATCATTTTTTCATGCCATAACATGATTGCCCAAAAGCTCAAAGTTAGGAGTAGGGGCGGGTGTCAGGCCTGCTGTTCTGTTGTTCACTTGCACTGAAATTAATGTGTTCAGTCTGTTTCTTTGAGGGAATCTTTTGGGACAACGTGTCCGTTTTGTGAGGGTTGGGTGAAGAAAACAAGACGGTACAATCTGCAAGTCCCCACGCGCACTCACTCACTGCAGGACGCCACGTTGTGCTGCGGGATCCCGGTGTCCCCATCAGGGCTTCCCTGGGGGTTCCCACTCTTCCTTCAGGGTGCATCTCTGACACCTGAGTCCAGCTGTCAGCAGAGCTAAGTGAAGGCCTGGTATCAATCCCTGTAATGAATATTTGTACCTTTCTTAATTTTTAAGGTTAAGAGTAAATATTAATGATCATTACATTGCTTTCTTTCTGCCCTTCCACTGCCCTGGGGGACGTCTGCTGTCAGTGACGGTAGTGAGTAGTGGGTTATTTAAAGGGTGGGAGAACATAGCACCAGCGAGGCAGGGACCTGAGGAGAGCAGATGTCATGCTGATGTCTCCGCTGTTCTCTCTTCAGACGTACCGCGAGCCTGTGTCGGACTACCAGGTCCTGCGGGAGAAGGCTGCATCCCAGAGACGAGACGTGGAGCGGGCACTCACCCGTTTCATGGCCAAGACAGGCGAGACCCAGAGTCTTTTCAAAGATGACGTCAGCACATTTCCATGTGAGTCTCTCCCCTTGGCAGGCCCTATCTTGTCCTTTGAGATCACACCCCATCTGCCCTGTCTCTCAGCGTGGTAGGAAGAAGCAGATAAGCTCTGTCCCTACCGCAGATGGAACTCGTTCTTCAGATTTCTGCCTCCTTTTCCCAGGGCTTAGGGGGTCTGTCCCACCAATGACTCCCAAATAGGAATGGTCTCTGTTGCGTTTGGGCACTTGAAGTGCGTGGAGTAGAGGTTCCCTCGAGGATGACTGAACACTAGGCATCAGAGAGGCTCACATACCAGAGGCGGCAGCCCTGGTGGTAGAAGGGACCCTGGCATCAGGGAGCAGTTTCAGAACCTCTTCTGGCCTTTGTCCTTCACAGTGGCCTTTCACAGGGCTCAGCTCATTTAATTTCTCACCTCAACCCTACCATTTTGCCATGTGACCAAGTTCCTTCATCTCCATAGGCCTCAGTGTTTCCAGGGGGGAATGAGGCAGAGGGGTTTGGGTGATTCCTTCAGTTGGCAGGCCCCTGTTGCCTACTCACTGTGCACCTCAGCCTAGAGCCAGAGCAGCTAAGTCATAAGTGCCAGGCCCTGTGCGAATCACTTCCTCCACGTTATTGCATGAAGTCCTCAGGTGAGCCTCTTGAGTTAGGTATCATTACCATCACCATTATAGGAAGCCGAGGATTATAGAGAAGAGAAATGAAGTAACCTCTCCAAGGTCACGCAGCAAGCAGATAGCATCAAACCTAGCTCTTTCTGTCTGCAGGGCCCCACATCTGAGCCACGTTAAAAATAATCTTAGAGTGTCTTCTGATAATGATATTCTACCATGGAAGTATACATGGAGACTTTCTTTTCTTTTCTTTTTAAATCAATGATTTCTTCTTCTCCTCAGTGCTTTTTGGAATAATTGGATTGCTCACTCACCTGAAGTGCCCTCTAGGTCAGCAGGTGCACTTCCGTGTGGAGTTCTCAAGTCCGATATTGGCCGAAGGGATCCAGATCCCTGCTTTAGAAATGAGGCTGAGGGGTTAACTGACCTTGGGGATAAGATCACTAGGCTGATGCTTTGCTAGGATTTGGCCCCAGCTCTCTCTGATTTTAGTTGTACTTGGTAAAAGTGGGCATAGAGGTCATATGGCCGAAGTTCAGATCCCACTCTGCCACTTTCTGTGTGTTTGAGGTTGTCACATAACCTCTCCGTGTCTCAGGTTCCCTGTCTGTAAAATGGGTTTGATAATTGTACTTACTTAATAGGGTGGAGGTGAGGATTACAGACACCGTGTAAAGCCTGTAGGACGCAGCCTGGCCCGTGGTTAAGTGCTCCGAGCACATTAGCCTTTATTGTCCTGCGGTGGTGCTCGCTGATCGGAGGCTCTCGGCCAGCTGCAAGGGCTCCGTGACGGCGGAATCATGCCTCTCTTCCAATCCTCCAGTGATCGCTGCCAGACCTTTCACTATCCCCTACCTGACTGCTCTTCTTCCATCTGAGCTGGAGATGCAACAAATGGAAGAGACGGATTCCTCGGAGCAGGATGAGCAGACAGACACGGAGAACCTCCCTCTTCATATCAGCACGGTGGGTCCTGCCTTCTGCCTGCTTCCGCCTGCCCCCCAAGGAGCCCATGCTGCTCTCAGCCTGTCACCCTGGGCATTGCACATGACCTACCTCAGGTCTCTGGCCTTATGTTAGGGACTTGCATGATGGGCTCACGATGATCCAATTGTGACATAATCTCTAGCTTGAGAAACAAATCTGTATCCTAGGGATCCATTCATTCAACAAATATTGAATGCACACCTGCCAGAGTCACGCACGTGCCAGGTACCTGGGGAGTTAGCAGGAGACAGACTGGACACAATGTCCTGTGCTCCTGGAGCGCAGGAAAAATAAGAAATTAGGAGATGGGAAGTAGGTCTAGGCCTGGGGGGTGTGGTGTTTGAGAAGGTGACATTTGAGTGAAGACCTGAAGGGAACAAGGCTTGCACATAACTGGCAGTGGAGCATTGCTCAGAGAGGGAACAATGTTCCGGGGTGGGAGCTATTGTGTTGAAGAGCAGCAAGATCATCAGGGTGGCCAGAGTGGCCTGAACAAGGGGGAGAGGAACAGGGGGTGAGGTCACAGAGCTCCTGGGGGAGTCTGATTGTAAAGGTGTATTTAACATGTGGGCTTTTTCTCAGTGAGATGGGAGCCACTGGACATGCAGAGCAGAGGAAGGTGAGGGTCTGATGGTGACAGGATCCGGCAGGTTGTGGGTTGAGGGTAGACTGTAGAGGGTAAGGGCAGAAGCAGAGATGATGGTGGAAGTAAAGACTTGGTCTGATAGGTTATTGGGTTAAATTCTAGATGATTTTTGGAGCAGAGCCAACTATAGAGTGGATGTGAGAGAAAGAATCACAGATAAATGCAAGGTTTTTTGCCTAAACAACAAGAAACCTGGAGTTGCCTTCAGCCAAGATAGGGAAGACTGTTGGGTGGAGCAGATGTCTGGGGGAAGCCAGGAGTTGGGGTTTAGACAGGGTGAGTGTGAGATGCTTATTAGATATCCAGGTGGTGATGTCAGGTAGAGAGATGGATAGAGGAGTTAGGGAGTTTGGGGTGCTGTTAGGACTCGAGGTGCAAATCCGGGAGTCTTCACGTGTAGGTAGTGTTTAAAACCACGAGACTCGGTGAGCGCCTAGGGAGCGAGTGAGAACCAAAAAGAGAAGAGGTGCCGGGACTGAGCCCTGGGGCTCTGCACTGTTCAGAGGATGAGGAGATGCGGGGGGACCAGCCGAGGAGGCATAGCTGGAGAGATGGGAGAACCAGGAGGGTGTGGTGTCCCGGAGGCCAAGGGAGGAAGTGATCAGCTGTGTCAGAAGCTGCAGTTAGTTACAGTCACATGAGGCCCAAGATGTGGTCTGTTAGATTTGGCAGCGCGAGTATAATCTGTCACCTTGACAGGAGCGATTTCAGGAAGCATGAGAGCAAGTGAATTCAAAGAGAATGCGAGAAGAGAAGTTGGAGTCGGTGAGGATGGCCTTGTGTTGTCCACTACAGTGGCCAGTGGCCGCATGTGGCTAATTAAGTTTAAATTAAATAAAAAATTCCCTCCCTTAGTCACACTGGCCGCCTTTTGGTTTTTACCTGTTTTTTTAAGATAAAAGAAATAGCAGGATGTTTGTATGCTGATGGGAATGGTCTGGTAGAGGGAAAATTGGTGCAGGAGAGGAAGAAACATTTTGGGATGATGATCTTTGGTAGGTGAGCGGGCAGGGGATCTAGTGCCCGAGAGGAGGAGTTAGCCTTACTGTGGACATTTCAGAGCCAGGGTAGGAGGTGGAGTGTGTGGGCACAGAGGGAAAGGTCGGGATGAGGTGTGCTCGTTGGGACCTGGGGATGTTCTCTTCTGGTTGCGATGTGTTGCTCTCGATGAGTAACAGGATAAGGCCCACCCTTGTTCCTGCCTCTTGAGGAAAGTGCCAGGTAGAGTCACAGACCTGCTGGGAGCTCTCATGCCTCTAAGGCTTACAGGACCCTCATAGTCAGGTTACTGTATTCACCCATCCTTTCAGATGGGCCCTGGCTTTTAAGCAAAGGGTGGCTTAGTGGTTGTAGCTGGACTGGGCGTTCCTCATGTTCTCCAGGGTGCGATGCAGCGGCAGCAGCCGGCAGCTGCAGGATGCAGGTAGAGAGTGCCAGTGCCGCCTCTGATTTGCTGATGGTCTCCCGCACCTGAACGCATGTTTCTTTAATGTTGAATTATTCCTTTCAGAATTAGGGCTGGGAGCCCATGGCTTTATGTAAAGCAGAGGAACTTGTTATTCTGCACTTCTGTTTTGGACTCGGTTAATTTGGTCTGAGATGTGGTGATTGGGTCATGGACTAAGATGAGGTTCACCTTCTGAGAAGGAGGAATCTTCTAAGCAAACATCACCATCCCTTTGTAAGTACAAAGTAGCTGCAGGGCTTGTAGGTGTGTTATCTCACACTCCAGTTACTGCTGTAGGTGAGGTTACAGAGGTGAGGAACCAAGGCTGCACGGATGCCAGGAGTCACCCGAGGACTCCAGGACCCCAGAGGCCAAGCCAGGCAGCAAAGAGTAGACAGAACTGAGCCTCCGAGTCAGAATGGCCTGCCTGCGAATCCAGACAGGGCTACTTTCCAGCTAAGCGACTTTGGTTGCATCACCCAACATCTGAGCCTGTTTCCTCACAAATACAAATAGGACTAGAAACGCCTGCCTCAGGGGGAGAAAAGAAGCTGAGATGCAATGAGCTCATCTCTGTCGGGTGCTGGCCGGCGGCAGCTCGTGGTGCCCCCCACCCGTCAGCAACTGTATGGCCGTATGTTCTTCTGTGAAAAATAAACAAATAGAAAGACTTCAGGAAAAGGATTCCAGCAACAATTTATGGGCAGTCAGTCAGGCTTGTTCTTTTGTTGGCCTGGCGAATACAATCCTATGTTTAAAGTTCAGAATGTCTGAGAAGGTGTATGGTGACAATTCTTCTGCCCGTCCTGGTTCACTTTCCCTCCTGCAAAGCAACCAGTGTCACTAGTCTCTTGTGAATCCTTCTAGAGATGGTTTTAATTGTTGTTTCAAACACAAACAGCAAATCACAAAGGGTTTCTGCCCCTGCTTCATCGCTGCATTGTGTGGGTTTAACAACTGAATCGAGCTAGTCCCCTGTGGACCGACATTATTACAGTGAAGTCAGTAACTGGTATTTTATTTGTTGTTGGAGGGGAGGTAATTAGGTTTCTTTCTTTCTTTTTAGAGGAGCAAACGGGGATTGAACCCAGGACCTCATACATGCTAGGCATGTGCTCTACCGCTTGAGCTATTCCCTCCCCCCTTAGTAACTGGTATTTTAAATTGCTCTTTCCTCTATCGATGACACATCTCTCAAGGACTGCTGCTAGACACTTTGGTTAACTTGGCTGTGGTTTCTCCATCTACTTGAACATAAAGGGACTATTCATTTAAACTTAGTGTATAATAGGATTTTTTTTTCTCATATATTTGTACTAGCTGCCTTCTGCAGGGAATTCCAGCATCTAAACTTTTACTCTTTTAGGAACAGTGTACCATTCATTTACTCAACAAGGATTTATTTAGTACCTGGTAGATGCCAGATACTGTCTGGGTGCTTACGTATCAGTGAACAGAGCAGAGGCAACCCCTGCCTTTGGGGATCCTGGCCAGTGTGGGAGCGACCATAAACATAGTATGTCAGTACGTGATTATATGGTCTGTTAGAGATGAAAGTGCTGTGGGGTGGACGGGAAACAGTAGGGAAAGGTCCAGGGTAAAGGGTGAAGTTTGAGTTGTAAATAGGGTATTCAGAGTAGACATCACAGAGGAGGTGACATCGGAGCAGAGTCTTGAAGGAGGTGAGGGAGTGAACCATGTGGATATCTGGGGAAGAGTGTTCTGGAAAGGGAACAGCCAGTGCAAAGGCCCCACGGCACAGAGGTGAGTGTGGGTGTGGCTGCGGAAGGCAGTGGGTAGGGGGAGAGGTCAGATCAGGAAGGGCCTTGTAAGCAGTTTTATGAACTGTCTTCACTGGGTGAAGTGGGAGTCGTGGGAGGGTGTGGAGCAGAGGGACAGATCCAGAGTTCTCTAGGGAGCATTGACTGCGATGGTGAGAATGGGGCAGGCAGAGAAGGGACTGTGGAGGGAGGGCAGTAAGGAAATTGTTGTCCCAGTAAAGACAATGGTGGGTCCTCCCACAGTGGTCGCAGTAGAGACAGTGGAAGTGGTCAGATTCTGCCTGGATTTTGAAGGAAAGGCCAAGAAGTTTCCTAACAAATGTGGCTGTCGGATGTCAGAGAAAGAAAAGATGTAGGAATGACTGTGGAGTCTGGGGCTTGGACCACTGGAAGGATGGGGGTCTCTGTCTATTGTGATGGGAGGACTGTGGGAGGAGCTGCTCATGCCAAGGCGGGGATCTGGGGTTCAGTTTCAGGCACATTGGATCGGAGATGCCTGCTTGACCACGTTGAGTGCCAGTGACTGTGCAAGCCTGGAGGTCAGGAGAGAGGTGAGGGCTGGAGGGGCACCAGGAGGAGATGGTGTGGAAGTGGGGTTGAAAGCTGTGAGACTGACACAGTTACCCCCGGGAGTGTGGGGTTCATTAAGAGTGCACACACGTTGCCTGAGTCTGGCCTTTCCAGGCCCCAGTTGCTCCTTACAGACCTTTCTGCTCCCTTCTTTTTCACAAATCTCAGTTCAGTACTTTACTTCTTTTATCTACTCCTCCCATCCTTTCCCATCTCAAGGCTGCCTGTCCTGGAAGGGGGCAAAGAAAATGGCATTTCCAGAAGCTCCACTTGGGAGAAGAGAAGTCTGTTGTGCCCCGTCCTGGCCCACTTGTGAGGCGTGGTGAGACGAACGGGGGAGGGAGCCTCGAGCAGTGGCCCCAGGACTGGCTCTTCAGCGCCCCTGACCATGTCACCTCCACCTGTATTATCTCAGGAAACACTTAAGGCACAGTTGAAGTGAACTTCCAGTAACTTTGAAGCTAGACCAATTACTGTGGAGAAATGATAGGAGGAGGTGGGAGTGAGTTACTCAGACAAGCCATTAAGAAAGGTGGGGAGCCAGGTATTCAGGGCAAGCCAGGTCTGGCACAGCCAGGGGCTCACTTTCAAGAGAGCCAGGAGGTCCACAGTGGCTATAGGTCACCTTGGTGTTGGAGAGGGAAAGCTCAGGGGCTCTGGATGGCACTGGGTCTCCAGGGAGAACAGGGTTGACGGGCAGTGAGAGGTGGTGCCAGTGGAACCTCAGAGCCATTCACTCTCTTCAGGCTCGTTGAGCCCAAACTGGCACCAGCCTCCTCGGCCAGCAGTCCCTGTGGGAGAATCTGCCATCCAATTGCAGCATCCTCTGTCCTGCTGTCTTTGGACAGCACAATCTCCTGGTTGAGATCATGTCCTCTTTTTTCGTTTGGGGCAGGGGGCAGGTGATAATTAGGTTTATTTATTTTTAGAGGAGGTACTGGGGATTGAACCCAGGAACCTCATGCCCAGGAACCTCATGCATGGTAAGCATGCACTGTACCACTGAGCTGTTCCCACACCCAAAATCAGGTCCTCTTTTACCTCTAGTTACAGGACAGGAATCTCAGTGACAGAACGTTTGGTCTGCCACCAGGGGGCACAGCCCAACCAGCTTCTGGACACTTACAGTCACTTAGGCCTGAGCTTCAAGGTCAACTTCTTCCTGTGATTTTTTTTCCGCCTTCCCCTGCAGCTTCTGCTCGTTTTAAAGAACTTGGAAAATAGAGAGTAAAAAAAAAAAAAAGAAAGAAAGAAAGGAGAATCAATCACCCATATTACCAGAAGCAGTCTTTAAAATTTACTTTTTCCTGTGTCCACACCCAATTGTGATTTAAACAGTTTTTAACTGGGATCATATTGAATACATACAAACTTACAAACTTTTCTCCAAAATCACTTTCCTCAAAAAATGCACAGTGAAAGTCCTGTTCTACAGGCCAGAGATGGGGATCTTGGATGAAGTTCTCAGGTGGGGCCAGCATGCATTGCTCCTCCTTGGTAGAACCCTCGGGGCTCAAGAAGTTTCTGGCCTCTTCTGGGATATGATCATTGGTACTGTGTTGCAAGTACCCAATATTTGAGAATTGGGAAATAGATTATGATTTACATGAGCTTTGGTCCAGAAGATGCTTTGCTCCCCTGATTTGTTCTGGCCCTGTACCTCTCAGTCCTGCGAGGTTTGAGGGCCTTCTCTCTTTCTCTTGATCTCTCCCCAGGCAGGGCTTCCTCCCTGAAGCGTCTTAGTTATGGCCCCTGAGCCCCGCCCCTCCCAGGTCTCTATTCCTTCTCACTCCTGTCCCGGCCTCCTTAGGAGACTCAGGGGTCCGTGTTCTGTGTTCCACCGCGTCAAGGCTGCTGCTCCCGCTTTCCTCCCACAGCCAGCCGCTGCCTGGCCTCCTGTTGTCTGGGGCAGAGTTAGGCACGTTGCACAGAGGGTGGGCTTCTCATTTCTCGATGAAAGGGATGCTGATGGTAGCCCTTCTCGTGGGCACGATCTCTTTCCTTATGCCCTTGGTGTTTTGCTTTATTTTGGCTTTTTCTCAAAGGACGATTCTGGAGCCGAGAAGGAGAACACATCTGTCCTGCAGCAGAACCCCTCCTTGTCGGGCAGCCGGAACGGGGAGGAGAACGTCATCGATAACCCCTACCTGCGGCCTGTGAAAAAACCCAAGATCCGCAGGAAGAAGTGAGTTGGAGGCTAGGGTGCAGAGAGGACTCCCTGGCCAGCCAAGGTGGGCGCTTGGCGGCAAAGAGAGGCTCACCAGTGGGTCTGGACCTCAGGGAAAGCTTCTCTGGTGAGAGGAAACATGGTCCCTCTTCCTCTCCTTCCTCGTCTCCCGTGTGTACCTCTCGTGCATAGAGCCTGAGCCTCCTGCAGCCCAGGGACCAACCCGCGCAGCCCAGCCATTGCTCCCCAGCTAGGAGGGCAGGCGGCCCCCCAGGCAGGCTCCATGGATTCCTCTTCTTTCTAGGTCCCTCTCGTGAGCTGAGAAGGAAGCCTGCCTTGTGCAGAGATGCGGACATCACCCTCCTGGGGGAGTCAAAGCCACTCAAGGGAAGAAGAGGGTGGTTGAGCCGAGGCTGCCAGAGTGTGACTGGGCATGATTTTAACTGCATACTCTCTGTTGAGATTGACCTATTTTCGTTGGACGTTTGGGTTGACAAAGATACGATTGTAACAACAAGGCCTTTTTTAACCAACTGGGCCATGCCATGGGGCATAGAAACGGCCAGGGACTTCATTTATTATCATGGGACTTGATTCCTTGAAACCTGGAAGACCAGGGAAGGTGGCAAGAAAGAAAAGGCTCTTTGCCTGCTTTGCTCACTGCCAGAAAGACTGTTTGCTTAATTTGTATTTCAGGACGTCTGGACCCCTTTTATTGACTGACAATTTGTGGTACCAATTTATCCTCCTAGAATCTCCTTCTTTCTTCTCTCCTCACCTTGGCTCCAAATACCCTGTTGAGCTGATCGAAGGTGATTTTCCCTCCTGTAGCATGTTGGGAACACATGAATCCTGATCTGAGGCCGGCCGGAGTCAGGAGGTGTGAGCAGATGCATTCTTGTGAGGAGGATGACGCAGAAGGCAGCCCTGATTCTCATCTGCATGTGATGAAAGCTCCCTAGGGCCGGGCAGTGCCCTCTCCTGAGGGACTGATCATTTACTGTCCCTCTGTGGAGTGTGTGCTTGGGATCGGCCAGGTCCTGCCCCATCCTGGGAAGAAAGGTTTTCTTTGACAAAGAGCCTACATCAGTGGATATATTATGCTGTGACTTGATAGAGGAATCACCGATTTTAAACAAGAAGAGGATTGGGTGGGGGGCGGCTGGGGATGAGATTTTGGCCTTGTGTTCTGAAAGCTGAGACACCTGGCCGCTCTGCTGAGAGGCCGGCAGCAAAGGAAGGCCACGTGCCCACTTTATAGCAGAAGGGGGCAGAGAGAAGCCTGCAAGTCTGAATCTGTCCAACCTCTTTGCTTCCTGGGAGAGAAGACTTCATCCTTGATGTGCCCTCCAAACCGAAAAAGGAAGATGCTGGGCAGGCTGGTCTCCAAAGGAAGAGGTTTTAAAACCAAGTCTAAAGAAGATGAATGCCACTGACACGTGGGAGTTAACACAGGGTAAACAAATCCGTACGGACTTTCCTCATACTCGGCTTCCACAGTCATTTCTTAACCTTCCATCCTCTTGGTGATTTTGAAAACTTGAAACACTTGGTGTTTGTGTCTTGACAGCAAGCTCCATGTTCCTCTGACCTCACTGTCCTCGAAGCGCTTTATCCCATTGGAAGGAAAGTGCCGCTTGTCAGTAACCAAAGAGGGGATGCTAAGTGAGAAAATGATTCCCCAACTCTGGACCAAGTAAGAGTTTTTCCGGTTTATGTGACCTGAAACTCATCCAGTTGAAAGTAGTCCAGTTGGGCCTGCGCTGACCCACTCTGAGTTTATAATTTTGCTTTGCTAATTCTTGGCCTGTTGAGTTTAAATACAGTCCCAGGTTTGAGCCATGGCCTATGCAGGGCGGACACTTTCCCAGCTGGCTGTTCTCACCCGCTCTTGGGAGCAGTCAGCCCAGCAGCTCCTCCTGTTACCATCCAGAACAGACACCTGCTGAATGCTGTTATGCTGAGGGATGCGGTGGGATTTGGGAAAGAATTGCCGTTTCTGCTGTTGAGATCCCAGAGGCTGCACTGCTATAGTTCTGTTCTGGATGAGACACTGGGAGATGTTAACCTGAAACACTGACCCGACTGTTGTTGTGTAAAAACTGTGCATAATCCTCAATGTATATTTATAAGCTTTTATTTTTTTATAACTTTGAGGGAATTCATAATGCGAAAAAGCAGTAAACAGAGTCAAATTAAGTATGTGATTTATGCTCTTAATAAAAGGTCATAATAAAAACTTTGTAAATGAAACAGAATTACAAGCTTTGAAGTGAATTTGCATGCAAAAGTTACAGCAGTGAGAAAGGCTTTGTACAGATAAGTAAGGCTTAGACCTTATGTTGGACAGAGTACCCTTTCAAACTAAAACTTTATTTGGAAAATCTGCAAACACAAAACTAGAAAGGAAAGTATATTTTCCCTATATATTCTTCACCCAGCTGCAACACTTATAGAACATCTTTTCACTTCTGTTTCATCTATTTCTTCTACTTATTTTTTTTTAATTCCTAAAGTATTTTTAAAAACAAATCTAAGAACTATGTCATGTAATCGGTAAATATGTTATTATGCATCTCTGATAGACCTTTAAAACTTTTTTGAGGTAATTATAAATGACAGGATGTTGCAAAAGAGAAAAGAGTTCAAGGAGGTCCCGTGTACCCTTTACCCAGTCCTTCAGTGGGAGCATCTCGAATAACTATAGTGCAGTGTCAAAGCCAGGAAAGTGATATACATACAGTCCACAGAGTATTCAGATTTCACCATTTCGTGTGTGTGTGTGTGCGCGCGCGCGCGTGTGTGTGTGTGGTTCTATGCAGTTTTGTCATGTGTAGATTCACAATCAAGATACAGAACATTTCCATAACCACGAGGTTCCTTCATGTTATTTCCTTATAACCACATCTACCTCTCCTCTTCCCCATCGCTAGCCCCTGGCAGCCACTGCTCTGTTCTCCATCTCTATAATTTTATTTTTAAAATGTTATATAAATGGAGTTACAAAGTTTGTAACCTTTTGAAGTGGGCTTTTTTCACTCAGCATAAGTGAGGGAGAGCCAGCCAGGTGGTTGTGTTTGTCTGCGGTTCCTGACTTTTCATTGCTGAGCAATATGCCAGGAATGGATGTACCACAGTCTGCTTAACCATTCACACAAGGAGGGACATCTAGACTGTTTCCAGTTTGGAGCTGTTATGAATAAAGCAGCTATGAACATCTGTGTATAGTCTTCATTTCACGGCAATAAATGCCTAGGAAGGCAACTCTGGTCCTATGGTAACTGTATGTTTCATTTTAAAAGAAACAAACTCTTTTCAGCCTGGCTGTACCATTTTGTGTTCCTGCTAGCAATGTAGGCAGCCAGTTTCTCCACATCCTCACCAATATTTGTTGTTATCATAATTTTTTAAAATTTTAGCCATGCTGAAAGGTGTGCACTAATATCTTATGATCTTAATTTGCATTTCCTCCATGGTTAGATGTTGAACATCTTTTCACGTGCCTTTTTGCTGTCTGTGTATGCTCTTCGGTGAATTATCCACTTAAATCTTTTGTCCATTTTCCAACTGGATTGTTTCTTTGTTTTGAGGTTTCTTCATATATTCTTTTTAAAAAATACTTTATTCATTATCGTATTACTTAATTATTTTGGGGGGGAGGTAACTAGGTTTATTTATTTTTGGAGGAGATACTGCATGTATTTTTGATACAAGAACTTTGTCAGATGTGTGGTGTACAAATACTTCCACTCTGTGGCTGGTTTTTCATTCTCTTCTCAAGGATCTTTGGCAGAGCAAAAGTTTTAAATTTTGATGAAATTCAGTTTATCAATTTTTTAATTTTATGGTTTGTGTTTTTGGTACGGGTCTAGAAACTCTTCTTCGGGTCCTAGGTTCTGAAGATCTTTTTCTGTACTTTTTTTCTAATATTTTTATAGGTATGTTTTACATTTTAGTCCTGGATCTATTTCTAGTAAATTTTTTATAAAGTGTGGGGTTTGGGTTGGGTTCACTATTTTGCCTGTGGATGTCAAATTGATCCAGCACCTTTTGTTGAAAAGGTACCCTTCCTCCATTGAATTATGTTGGTACCTTTGTCAAAGGTTAGGTTTTTTGGGAGGAGGGGCACATTTATGTGGGTTAAGACTTTTTTTTTAGATAATCACTATGTCAATATCACACTTAACAAATGAACAGTGATCTTCTAATATCCCCTAATGTTCAGTTAATACTCAATTTTCCAGTTGTTGCAAAGATTTTTAAAATTTTTTTAATAGTTGGCTTATATGAACCAGGATTAAAATAAGATCCAGACATTGCACTAGGTTTTCACATCTCCCAAGGTAGGATAGTCCCTCCCACCTCTGGCCCTGGGGGTCAGGATACAGGCCTCTTTCCTTTATTTCTGACCAAGTTAAAAGGTGATCAGTGAAGTTAACTGAGAAACTAGTAATAAAATAGCCTGGCTTTTTTTTTTTTGCAGGGGAAGGCAGTGGGGAAACAAACATAAAAGGAGCTGAGCTTTGTTTTTCTGGAAGCCTGAAGTCACTTTACGTAGAGGCCACGTGGCTCAGTGAGCCAAGGCTTGGTGACGTTTGTGTTTGTGGCCCCACCACAGCCTACAAGCTGTGAGGTCGTGGGCAAATCCCTAAATGTCCAAACCAGTTTCCATAAAATGGATAATGATGGTATCTCTACTGAATTTAATGGTACATTCCAACTCGAGTTAGGCTGCTCTAACAAAAAATCCCCAAAATACAGCACCTTAAGGCAGAACTGTATGCCTTCTACGGAAGTCTGGATGGTGGCCCAGGCTGGCTTGGTGGCCTGATGATGTCAAGTCTTCTGTCTTATGGCTCGTCTATCACCTCGGATGATGCTCACATCCGTGTGCTGGAAGAAGGCTGCCCCCTCACCTGCTGGGTCCACATTCCAGTGGAGTGGGTGGTGGGGTGTGTAAAGGGGAGCTCAAAGCCCAGAAGCTGTCCCCTCCTAGTCACGTGGCCTCGCCAGGCTGCACGGCAAGTGAGGAAATGTGGCTCTGTGACTAGGTAAAATTTGGGAGACTTGTCACCAAGGAAAGTAGGAAAGAATGGATTCGGGGGACAACTGAATCTGACACAAATGAGGTTTAGGGAGTGTGCCCAGGACTGCCCTTGCGGGACAGGCAGGAAACCCCTCCTGAACACTGAGCACACTTGACTTGGCACCCTCGGCTCTCCCAGCCCGTCCCAGAGGCCAACAGTTGGTGCTCCTCTAGGATGGGGCCCTCGGTGACATCCAACTGGGCCTTCGCTGCGGACATGTGACCCTGTCGGCCGCCCCTCCCTCTTCAAAGGTGTCTCTTTGGCCTTCATGACATTGCCCTCTTTTCCTGATTATTCTATTTCATGGCCTCCCTTTTCCTTGCTGGTTCTTCCTCCAACCTGTCCAGCTGTGGCTGGCCCCAGATAGTCCTCTGCTCACCCAGGAGATGGGTCATCTGCCCTTCCACTGCCAGCTGTCACCTCCCGGTGATTCTCAGCATCTGTCGGTAGGTTGCTCTCCACTAAGCTGCCTGGTTATACTTTCAAAGCAACGTGGTAGATTGGATTTGCTTCACTTTTCTGCCCAAACCACTTCCAGTCCCCAGCCTTCCCACTTCGGACAGCAGTTCGGAACAGCGGGGCCAGTAGCAGCCAGCCCTGGAGCGCTTACCTGGGCCGGGACCGCAGGCCTTACGGCGCCATCTCACCCTCCAAATGGTCCAGAGTCTTCATTCTCCATCTGTACCTGCCCCTCACCACGTTCTGCCACCTCTTCCTTCCTTGCTTGTCTGAAGGGGCAGCAGCCTCCCTGCTCTTCTTGAGCCTGTGTCCCCTGCCAGGCCCATCTTCCTACAAGCCTGGACTTTGTCGCCCCCTCCCCACTTCCCACACTAAGACCTGCAGTGCATCCCACTCTGCATCCAAACTGCCCAACCTGGCCTCCCCAGGTCCTCTGCCAAGTGGCTGTTTCTTTTGGAAAATTCACATTCCTTTCATTTATTCAACAAGTACGGATCTAGTGTCTTCTATGTGTGTCAGGTACTGTGCCAGGCTCCAAGGACAAGTGACAAAACAGACATGCCCCCTGCCCCCAGGGAATCCATTTGAGCAGGAAGACATACACGGAAAACAAAACCAAAATCGTTACAGATTGTGGAGACATGCTAAGAAGGACACAAAGGGGTCTTTATTCCTTGAGGGGGGACGGCTGCCCTCATCAGTGCTACATCCTGCGCCTTTGTGCTCTTCCTCCCCATCACCTCCGAAGATCTTGCCTGTCCTTCCGGCCTCCGTATCCTCTCTCCAGATGACATTTATCCTTCCCTTCTACATTCACTCAACAAATATTTACTGAGCTACTGAGTGCAGGCGCTGAGTCAGATGCTGGGAGGCAGCAGAGTGTAACAAAGCCGCTACATTCTCTGCCTTTACAGTCTAGTTAGGGGCCAGACAGCTCACAGACATTAGATGTGTAATGTCAGGTGTGAATCGGGGTCCTGAGAGGAAAGCCACAGTATCCTCAGGTTGGGTGCTTTGAGGAAGGTTTAATAAAGTGATCACCTCCCAAGATGTGGGCAGGTGTAGCAGAACACAGTGTAGGTAGCTGGGCCTGGGTGAGTTACAGGGAGGGGAGGGAGCAGTCACCAGAGCTGGAGGGGGGCCTATGTGAGGCCCTTCTGCCAAGAACCAGGGCCGTGGGTCATCAAGGGGGCCAGGGGGCAGCAGCAAACCTGCAGGGGGAGTGCCAGTCTAGGGACAGATACCCTGACCTCCCTCTCCTCCCTCCCACCTCCCAGTATCCTGCCTGTTCTTTGTTGAACAGAAGCCAGAGGGCACAGGGCCTGTCCAAGCACGACACAGTAGCTGCCAGCCTCCCAGGGCCCGCGCAGGGTGAAGTGGAGAGTGAGCAGATCTAGACGGGCAGAGGAAAGGGGTGGGTGCTTGGTGGGGGGTGCATTTTAGAAAAGGTGGGGAAGGAGAGCTGCCTGAGAAGGCCCCCACGTGGAAAAGCGTTCCAGGGAGAGGGACGAGCGAGCACCTGGAATGGAGGGGCCACGTGCCTGGAGAGTGGTGGGAGTGGGACCAGGACGGAGCAGGGCCCACACGGTGCAGAGCCTCCTGGACCCGAGTAAGGGCTTTAGGTGTTATTCGGAGCGAGATGGGACATGAGGGAGTGACAGGAGTTGACTCAGCTTATCAAAGGGGCATTCTGGCTGGACGGGATGAGAGACATCACTTTTCTTCAGTTATTTTCACTTTTCTGGCATTTAGCAAACGCACTGACCAGTGAGGAAGTGAGTCCTGGCCCCAGGAGAGCCAGGGCGACAACTCCCTGCAGACTGAGCCCTGTCCCAGCGAGAGGAAGAAACACAATCACACGGATAGGATAACTCCCTTTCCCCAGGGCGCTCGCAGTGTAGTCATGGAGACAAATAAACAGAGGAACCCATTGAACACCACTCACCAGGACAGAGGAACAGCTATCAGTAGAGGGTTGAACTTGAGGACTTCAGGGAGAAGCCTGCGCTCAGGTCGGAATGGGGTGGTATGAGCAAGTGGAGCTTCTGGAAGAGGTGAGCAAGGACCAGGGAGGGCCGAGGTGGCCTGAGGGAAGGCGGGAGGACAGGTGACCCAGCATCAGAGGGCCTGGGGGCACCTGACTGTGCCTGCGCAGCTCCTGAGGCTCCAGTGCCCTCCTGTACTGTCTCCTCTTGTGAGGCTACTTTGGTGTTGGCTGTAACCAGCCTCCTCCCTTGTAAAGCTGGCAGAGGTCCCCTCCGTGGCATTGGCCCTCAGATTGTACCTCCCTGGGCAGGTTGGGTTTTGGAGCATGTCTACTGACTGTGAACCAGGGTTGCCCCAGGAAAGGGGTCAACTGAACTGGTGGGGTCCAGGGTTGGAAGGTGCTGCCCCAGCTACCTTTACTCAGGTGAGCTGTTGATGATCTGAGAGGCTTTTAAATAGAAGGGCCAGGGTCCTCAGAGACTCTTAGAAGTGTCTGTGTGGGTCCAGGAGGAATGACCTGGGCTTTGTCAGTTGTTTGCCATCACAAAAGAACCCTGGGGCCCCAGATTCTAATTGCATTTCGTTGGGATTTTGTTATACATTCATTTATGAATTCTCTTCAACCACTCATCGTGGGTGTGTCATTCTCCTGTTCCACTCAGGCTCACACTGAAACAAGTGTTTAATTCTCTGAGCATCACCTGACAGTGCCCAGGCGCAAGTGGGGAGCCCCCGGCCCGAGGGTAACGATTTCCCATGGACACCCTGACTCCTGGAATCAAGCTCAAGGTATTCTTCCTCCTTTTGAAGCAGGTGGTTCTCCCTCATCTCCATTTTATTACCGATTTTTCCCCCTACCTTACTAAGAAGTTACTCAATTTTGAATGGATAATATAAGCACACGGTATAACATTTAAAAGACAGAAAAAGATACAAGTGAAACTAAGCACACACACCCCTGTCTCCCAGACTCCCAGTTCTCTTCCTGGAGGCCACCAGTATGTCAGGATCAGAATTATCGTGTGCATTCTTCAGCAAATAGTCTACACATCAGACACAAGTGCCTGTATGTACTTTCTTCCCCTTTTAAATGATGGTAGATATGTATATACTATCTATGCTTCCCCCCACCTCTCTGTGTATTTGGGTGATGGTCCCATGCTAATAATAAAAAGCTTTCTCGTCCTGTTTCATGGCTGCACTGTTCCATTGTAATAGCTCTACCGTAGCTGACTTACTTAACTCATTCCCAGTGGATGGATGCTTAGGTGGCGTCCAGCCTTCTGCTATCTCAGGAGTCAGCGTGGCGAGTGGCTCTGTGCCGGCGTCGTTTCCCTGCACGTGCCCACCAGCTGTGGGCAGATGTGCCCTGTTCTTCTCACAAGATGTATCAACTTACACTCTCGCCTCAGCGCCTGTTTCCTTGCACTTTTGCCACCTCAGGGTCTCCCAACTTGCTGACCTTTGCCAGTCTGATGGGTAGAAAATGGTTTCTTGCCGTGGTTTTGTTTGAGTGGAGTTGGGTGGAGGGGTGACTGCTTTTGGAGCCTGGAAGGTCTGCAGTCAGTCCTGCCACTCAGTTGTCTGCAAGCGACTGGACTGCTCTGAGTCTCACCCTCCTCTTCTGTGGTGTGTGGGCTAGTAATACCTCAAAGGGGCGCTATTGAGACATGCGATATTAGAGACGACTTGTGTGACTCAGGGCCGGGACTGGCATTACTCTCCCAGGTGAGGTGCCTCCCTCCCCACAGAGATGGGATCACCTGGGGTGGGGGGACAGGGGCTGGGCTGTGGACCCAGCACCCCTCCTGAGGGTGAGAGTGAGCCCTGGAGCAGGGGGTGGTAGTGAGCGTCTGGGCTGCCCCTTCACTGCTTCACAGATGCCGAGGTGGTGGGAGAGGAAAGGGGGAAGCCGAAGCGCTGTGTTCTTGGCCTTCATGGTTTCAGATGTTGGCACGGGTGAGCTTGTAACTCTACCCTCTTTTGAAAGTGTACATGGGCACCTTCCCCAGGAGAGCTCCACCCAGAAATCTCCTGGGTCCCACGGAGGCAGAGATTTCTAGGGCACAGAAGACAGCCAAGCTGAGCAGGCCTCTGCTCCGGGGACCCCAGGGCCTCCCTCCCTCAACCGCCCAGGAGCCCTGCCTGTGCCTCCCGGGCCCACGCCCTGCGGGAGCTTCTGTCCAGCCATCAGTCCTGCCACTGTCCTGTCCTGCTGTCACTGCCACCTTGTTGCCTCCACACCTCGGCTTCTTCCCTCCAATGTATTCAGAAAGAAAGCTCATTGTTACATACATAGGAGTGGGAACTAACAGTTAAAAAACCCCATCCCTTCAGGAAACTAAGGCCGAACTCATATGGAGGGACGAGCCCAAGGGCCCAGAGCTACTGGTAACGTCCTCGGTGAGTCTCCCTGGAGGTGGGGTGGGGAGTGGGGGGCGCAGCACAGGCAGCCTTGGGACCCCAGGTCAGCACCTGCTTTCAGCCCCAGCTTTCTCATTGGGAACCTTGTTGGTGAAGTTACTTTGACTGAAAAACTTTGGGGAAAAGGTTTTAGAGTCGAATAAATGTAAAAATTTCAGGAAATAAAGAGCAAAATGTCCACGAAAAGTAAAGCCTCAAATAAATTTTGCTTTTTCAGGAGGAGCTTCAAGCTTTTCTCCTAAAGCTTGAGGAGGTGGGAGGGCACGTTAGTTTGCTCTTCACTTTGCTGATTGGAAATCTTGGTGGAAAAATATTAGAAGTGTTGCAGAAAAAAATGTGTTACAGCTCAGTGTTATAGCTCAGTTGTGCCAGCAACCTGGACCCAGGCGAGAGACCAAGCAGTACTCGGAGAGTTGGAAAACTCAGGTTTATTACGCCAGCGGGCCCAGAGAAGTTAACACTCCAAGCTCTGGGGCCCATCTGTAGGTTTACACAGGCTTTTATAGGCTGCCAGTTTACACTTTGCAACATTATATGCAAATAAGGTATAACAATAGTTGACTAATTAGGAACAAGCTTTGTAGAAATGGACCAATCAGGAGGGAGAGATAACCAATCAGGAGTGAGGGAAATAACCAATCAGGAGTGAACTCAGGGAACCAACAGATTTTAGGGGTAAGTAAGCCTTTTCAGAAGCAAAAAGTGAGATAGAGCCTCAGGGCCAGGGAACTGGATGGTGCTGTCAGGAGAGTGGTGGCCCTGCCTGGGGGTCCTGCCGATCTTTTTATGGGGCTTCCTGCCTCAGAAGGACTAGTCTAGTCAATGTTTCTGCCATTAACTTTGTGATCACTAGCTTGTTCCTTTTTTTAAAAATTTAATTTTTTGTTTATTTTTAATGATGTTTATAGTTGATTTACAATATCATGTTAGTTTCAGGTATACAACAAAGTGATTCAGTTATATATATATATATTTTTAGATTATTTTCCATTATGGGTTATTATAAGATATGAATATAGTTCCCTGTGCTAGACAGTAAATCCTTGTTGCTTATCTATTTTATGTACAGTAGTTTGTAGTTGTTAATTCCATGCTCTTAATTTATTCCTCCCTTCCCTCTCCCCTTTGGTAATCATAAGTTTGTTTTCTGTCTGAGTCTGTTTCTATTTTGTTTATCTATTAATTTTTTAAATGGAGATTTAAATGGGGATTGAACCCAGGACCTTGTGCATGCTAGACATACACTATCACTGAGCTATACGCTCCACCTCCTATTTTGTATTTAGATTCATTTGTATTATTTTTCAGATTCCACATATAAGTGATATCATATAATATTTGTCTTTGTCTAACTTACTTCACTTAGTATGATAACCTCTGGGTCCTTCCATGTTACTGCAAATGGCAATATTTCATTCTTTTTATGGCCAAGTAATAATCCATTGTGTATATATACCACATCTTAAACCAATCATCTGTTGATGGGCACTTGGGTTTCCATTCATGTCTTGGCTATTGTAAATAGTACTGCTGTGAGCATTGGGGTGCATGTAACTTTTCGAATTAGAGTTTTCGTCTTTTACAGATACATGCTGGAGTGGGATTGCTGGATCATATGGCAATGAGCTAGTTCCTTTCTTGTATTTCTTGTTGTTCTACAACGGATTAGAGGCAGATTAGAACAAGAACAATAAATGATAAAAAATACACACATAAAATTAAAAAGTAGTACCAGAGGAAAGTAGACATTGAATAAATCATTTGGGGGTGAGGAGGAGGAGGGCCAGGGTAAACAAATAAATATATTGTACATCAGATGGTGATAAGTGCTGAGGAGGAAAACAATAAAACATGGTAATGAGGATACAGAATACGAAGGAGAAAGGGTATTACCCTTTTATGGAGTATTTAGGGAAGGCCTGTCTTCTCTAAGAGGGTAATATTTGAATTGAGATCAGATAGCTGGAAAAGAGCATTCAGTGACAAAGGAACAGCAAGTGCAAAGGCCCTGAGGCAGGAGTGGGCTTAGCATGTTAAGGAGAACAGTGTGGCCCACATGGAGTGGTAGGGGACATGTAACAGAGCAGGACCTATGGGGTCTTCCCAGGACAGACCCCTCCCCCATACCCTCTGCTGTATCTCCTCTCTGGAGTACCCAGATAACGGTATCTCATGCATATTTCCTGAGTTTTTCAATGCTAAAAACCAACACCAAGTGGAAGAAATTAACTACTTGATGATCATGTAGACCTCAGACCTTCTGGTGCCTGAGTAGTGATCATTATAAACCAATCAGAGAATTGTGCACAGCTGATCCTATACCCTGGGCTGCCCCTCCCTTACGTGGACTTAAAAATGCTCAGCTGAAGCCGTTCAGGGAGTTTGGGGCTTTTTGGGCACGAGCCACTCGTTCTCCTTGCGCAGCCCATCAATAAACCTTTCTCTCCTCCAAACTCCAACCTTTTGATTTGTTTGGCCTCGCTCTACATCAGACACAGGAACTTGCCTTGGGTAACAATTCTGATGAAGCCAGCTTAGGAGTCTGCCTGTGGCAGGTCCACCTTGGCTGGAGGCAGCCCCTTCCCAGGGTCCCCAGCAGCTGCTGGAGCTCACTTTGCTTCAGGGACCTGGGAGGGTCTCCCCTGACAGGCACCGGCTGCCCAGGCATGAGGCTGTTTGGAGCTGAGAAAGGTCTGGAGCTGCATCCACACTCAGTGTTGCTTGTGGGTGAGTCCCTCCAGCTTGCTCATGCAGGCTGGGAATTTTCTCTACTCCATCTGGGCTCATTCCCTTGCAGGAAGCGAGCCATTCTGGGTGCATTGGGAGCCAATCTGGGTCCATTCTCCTTCGGGAGCCAGGACACTCTGGAAGCCTCCATCTGGGAGTGGAAATGGAATTTTGGGGCTACATCTCATCTGATCTTTTGTTTGTAGGACGATGTTTGCTGTGTATGTGTGTGTATCAGTACTGGCATTGGCCAGTTGAAAGGTCTTTGGTGGGTAGCAAGTGCTCACGTGTGACGACACCAGAGTATCCTTCCATTGCATTGAATTCGCCTGGTTGGCGGAGCACTGGTTGAGATTTTCCCTTTCTAGCCTTGGTCATTCGTTCAGCTTCATCTCTGCTGGGGCGTCGGTCGGGGTTCTCCCCTTGTGGACTGACGGGGCCTTGGTTGGGAATCCCCTTTTGGGGGCTAGGGAGCTGTGACCCTGAGAGACTGTTTTGAATTGTATTTGGTTGCTATTTGACAACATTGCTGTGAATAATTAAATTAAAAATATGAATGATCAGAACGCTGTTTCATCTTACAGTCCCCCTAGGATATATTTTGCAAAACTGTGAGATCTTCATCTATGCTTCCATAAATGAAAGAAAATATGTTTTATTGTAACACTGTGTGGGCTCGGTACTCCCTGAGACCTTGAGAACAATGGCCCTAACGGCTCTGCTGTGATATCAAAGTGGGCCTTCTGCAGTTTGGCTTTTATCTTGGGTGTGTGAGTGTCTTGGTACCTGAGTCCAAAGGGTTTTGCTGAAAGTGAGGCATGTGAATAAAACACACACACATTGTCTACTTGGGAACTTGAAAAAAAAAAAAAGCCTGAAAATAGCCTAGATGGTTGGGTTTTGTAAAAGCAGTTAGAGGAGGAACTTGCATTCCTCTTCCTGTGCCTTTAAGACATAGATGATCTACCTGGGCTCTCAAGGAAAAAAGAAAAAAGATTTTTTCTAAATTCAAGCAGAAAACTGAGATCTCTGGTTCTGTCTGTCTTTACTTAAAACTAACTTGTAAATGACCTCCATCTAATTGACTTAAAAGTAAGTGCTTACAAATTAAACACTTCTAATTATAAAAGAAGCTGGATAGAACACATTTCAGGCTGATGTGATTTAGGAAATCTTCAATATTGAGTTGATATCTGATATTAAAGCTAGCTTAAACTTGTTGGTATACTCAATACAGACACGGCTTTTATTGTACCTAGGTTTACTGAAGGTCAATAAGTTCTTGTTTCTGTTGCAGTTTGTCAGCAGAAAGAAAACAATTATCTTGGTATAATGAAATTTTTATGGGTGAATTGAAGGCAGGGGAGAGGAGCTTTGGGGTGAACTCTTTGGAAATGATTGTTTTGGGAATGTCTACTTAAACGTGATCTCTCCAGCTATTTGGTGACTTGACATTTTGAACCTGTGCTAGATTATGTTAGTTGATTAAAGTTTAATGAGTAGTTGAATAAATCAGTCATTCCCAAACAAAATAAGATACTGAAACGTTCAATAGAAGTTAAGAGTTTTAAGTGGCTCACAGGGAAAGAGTGACAATGAACATATGTATATTCGTGTATAACTGAAAAATTGTGCTCTACACTGGAATTTGACACAACATTGTAAAATGACTATAACTCAATAAAAAATGTTTATATATATGAAAAAGTTTTAAGAGTTGAGGATTCTAATATAAATATGTAATTAAGGCTACTAGAAGTAATAAAAGAAACATTTGGTATATAGTAAGAGAGTGGGATATATGTTTGAGTTAAAAAAAAAAAAGGTGTGAGGAATGGAATTACATTTTGTTAAGGATTTGGTCCTGGAGCTGGTTGTCTCTAGATGGGAAAAAATAAGGGACAAACTAACGGATATGGAAAATTGTGGAAGGTTTGTAGAAGGGGAGCCTTAAAAAAGAGTTCTGTGCATGGTCAGGCTGAGATTAGATCAAGCTTAATTAGGCAAATGAACTTTGTTGTTGGAAGTGGGTTGGCGCAGGACTGGATTTGGTTCTTCTCTGTTAAGAGAACAAGTTTACTTAGAATGCCGCTGACGACAGTTAGTGTGACACTTTTTGCTTTGCTATTTTTGACAACTTCGTATCAAGTTCTAATTAAAGTCCTTTTGACTTCACCTGGCTTTGGGATGCCTCAGAGGGCCCATGAGACATCTCAGAGAGAAATATTAAACTAACTGGAATTGACTGGTAT